GCAACAACCCAGGAGAGAGCCCCAAAAGTCTGGAACTCTCTCCCCACAGAGACTCGCCTGTCCCCTTCTGTCACCATCTTCCACGAGAAGGTGAAGACTTTCTTAAATTTCCTTTGGCATTCCCTCCTTCCTTCCTGCACTCTGATTTTAAAATCTTGTATGTGTTTTAACTCCATTTTTTAATTGTTTTAGTGATGTGTGTGTGTGGGGGGGGGGGTTAATTTTAATGCTTTTAAAAGATGGTTTTTATCATTTGTGTTTCTTCATTGTTCACCACCTCAGTGGCCCTTGTAAGGGCAGAACGATTATTTTATTTATTTATTTATTTATTTAAATTTATAACCCGCCCTCCCCGCAAACGGGCTCAGGGCGGCGTACAGATGGGGCCAATACATAAAACATTAAAACTGCATTTTAAAAACATTCAATACAACATAAGTGCTCTCCACAATATCTACCAAGGGAAGAGATGGGAGGCAAAATTTATTTATTTATTTATACTTTAATAATATATTTTACTTTAAGTTTATGAATCGCCCGATCCCTGAGCACACAGGGCTCTGGGCGATGTACAACCAAAGTTAAAAACATCAGCATTTTCAGGGTGCGATCACATCGCAACATCTGGGAAGCGTGGCGCACCCGTGGCCAACCCGTGGCGTCCTGTCAGCTAGCTGCCATGCTTTCTTTGTTTACCTGCATCCTTGACCCTTGCGCATGCGTGCATGCTTGCTTTGCTTTGCTGCCGTGGGTAACTTAAGGAAGGCCGAAGATGCACAGTAAAAAAAATACCTTGGAAAGTGCACTAGCATCCGGAAAACGCGGGGCAGGGGCAGGCATCTGATTGTGGGAGCGCTAGTATCCCGTGGCATCCGGCGCCCATCCACGTCCTGTTGCAAACCGGATGTTTTTCGTAAGCGCATGTGCACAAACATGTAACTGAAAGCAGTGCTGCTTTGTGGAACTGCATATGCGCGCAAACGCGAAATGCTCGCCACGCCGTGTCTTTGCCACACTCCGGCATCGCCGTGTGATCGCCAGCTAACAGCTGAAGCACGAAGCCTCGGGGGACCGTGTGATCAGGATACCGCGCTTTATTTTGCTCCGGGGCAAACAGCCACGCCTCCCCCCCGTCTTATCTGGCCCATGTGACCGGGGCCATCGTTAAGTCATTCCTATATTATTAAGTAATCTCCGGGTGGCGTCACTAATTTGGTCTTAAACCCACCCCAGACCATGTTGCTGTCTTGTGGGCAGGGTGAGGAGGAGGCCTGAAGCGAAAAGATGGCAGAAAAGAGGAGGTTTTTTTGGGGGTAAAAGAAGTAAACCAAGTAGGGCCTTTGGCTGGGGAGCTGCCCCACTGCTAGGAGGCAGGGCTTGGTGGCAGTGCCTTTGAGAAATGGTTTGGAAACTGCAGCTGGTCCCGAACGTGGCAACCCGATTACATTTTCCAGGTGCCGTTCAAAATCCCAGTTTTGACACTGAAAGCTTGTGATCTGGGTGATTCAAGGAAGCGTCACGCTGAGCGGGGAATCGAA